AGAGGCGACCTTGGCTGTGCAAGGGAGGCTGGCAGGATTTGGTTCAGAGGTGCTGAACCAAGAAGGAAAGCTGCTGCTGAGTGAGCAACCGCTGCTCCTGTTGTCACCACTCAACCCACATCCAGCTCTGCCCCACGGATCATCCAGGAGAAAGGACCCCTAGCTGGTCACTTCAGTGACACTTATCAGGAGCACTGAAATGCAGAAGGGCTGGGGACTGCCTCATGTCTGATATCCAGCCCAAAAAAGGATGCAGGAGTGCCAGGAGCAGCAACTCACCGAGGGATAGCAGGGATGCGTGTGCCATTTTCGTCCACAAAGTGCCCCCCTGCATTGAGAACCCAGCAGTGGTGCAGAGACATCAAGGCATGTCGGGCTGTGGTGGGGTTGTCCTTGCCGTTCTGGCTGTCTGCGTTCTTCAGGGGAGAGAACTCGTCCTCACGCAGCACCTCGTACACCACAAACTTCCTTGGGGGGAAACAGAGGATGGGAGGGTCAGGTTTGGAAATCGTGGCTGCTTCATCACTTCTCCCCTGCCAGGGTGGCTGAGCTGGGGCCATGGCCCTCCCACAGCCCACACCCATGGGCTGTTTTTCACAGCCATGGAGGAGAGGAGGGCCTGGGTTGTAGAGTCAAATGTTCTGGCCCAGGAGCAGGGCTCAGCCAAGCAAGAAGCACGCAGCGCCTGTCCCTCCTGCTGCTCATGTCCCTGCTCATCTCCAAGCACAACCTTCCGCTGCTGCGGCAAAGCACGGGAGCTGGCATCTAATCCCAGTACCAATGGGCACACCCCTGGCACCACCCCGGAGGCTCTCAGAGCTGCCCAAGGCAGAGCCACCAGCCTCTTCCCCATGGAGAGAAAAGGACATACTTGGAAAACTGGAAGATGTCAAAGACGAACTTTTCCATCTTAATCCCATTGGGCTTCTCGGGTTGGATTAACTGCCCTGTAGTGATGTCCACATGTGGGATCTTCTTCTCAGCTACGTGGTGCTGCAGCTGTGGTTCATAAGTGCTGCAACAGGCCAAGAAAGAGATGTCACTCGCCTGAGCAAGTCATGTCTCCATCTCAGACACTGCTGCAGCAGGAGAGCCTCCCTGAGGCACAGGCTGCTCATCCCCACGGCAGCTGGGAGAGGACAGCTCCACACGCCTGCACTCTGGAAGCAGCATCCAGCTCTGGCCAGGAGAAATCTTATCTCAAGGAAGAGACTGTGTGGAGAGGCGAGGGTCAGGCCACGCGTGCAGGGGCCAGACATCAGGGGCCTCATCCCAGCACGCCTGCAAACAGCTGGAGCTCAGCCAGCAGAAGGCAAGGCGCAGCCGACTCCACTTGGCACCAGCACTCCAGCAGCACCCCAGCAGGCCCTTACTTGACTACATCTTTCAGGAAGGCAGTGGTGAAGTAGTGATTGGCGATGTTGCCCGCGTTGAAGAGCAGCCGCCCGTCCGGGCCCCGTTTCTGGGCAGTGGCCAGGGAGATCTCGCTGTACTCCACAACCTGGTACACACCGTCCACTCGGCACACCACGCCCACCGGCTCCGTGGGGTTGGTCTTTTCCACCACCTGCCCAAGGGAAGGACTGTCAGAGAAAGACACCCAAAGCCCAGCACTTCAAATATACTCACTCCTCCCTTGTACCCAGCATCGCCTGACAAGGTTTTCTGCTGTGCTGGGATAGCGCAGGGATAAGGATGCTGGAGCCCTCCCCTCTCAGGTACTTCTGGCAATGGGGACTAGAGGAAGACAATGGCAGAACTGGGTGACAGGGTGTTAGACACACCCAGAGGGTGTGGGCAGGATCTGGCACGAAGCCCACGTGCAGCTGGCAGAGGGCATGGATATTTTTAGCCAGCTCGCTGTGCACAACCAGGAGGCTGCTGGCTCAGCGGAGCCAGCCCCCTACACTTGACCTCCCTCCTCTTCCTTGCGTCGCACACACCTCCATCTGGGCACAGGACTACCCCAGCAAATCCCTACCCATCACTGCCACCACAGTGGGGTGGCATGCAGGGACATAGGGCTTTCTCCTTTCTGCATGCTAGGGTTTATTTCCTCTTTCTCTCGTGCAAGCCAGGAGGAGGAATTGCTTTCCCTTTCTCAGTTTGCTCTCTGAAAGCCTCAGACCCAGTAAGTCCTCTTGCCTGTTTGCCAGAGCCAAGCCCAATGTAAACAAAAACAGCCTCCTTGGCTGTTAAGCCAGTCTTTAAGTAAAGCTTCGAGCATGCAATGTCCTATTCACGAGATACAGGGCTGGGTTCAGTGTGTCAGCTGCTCCCACTGTATCCTGGTCTGGTGGCCCAGGACGTCATGGCTGGGGACAGCTGGCAGCCTAGGGCAAGGATCCTGTCCACCTATGCTACCCACAGCCACCTGGAGAACGGCTGCCAGGCATCCAGGCGTGAACCAAGGAGCTCCACAGGACTCCCCGGGAACTAAGGGACCTCTGAGCCCTGGGCCTGTTCCTGTGCAAGGCAGGAGAAGAACAGCACCAGGCATGGCTCAGTGATGCCCCACATCCCCCACACTGCCAAGGGCAGGCAGAACTATCCAAGGGGCAGGTAGGACTCTGGCAGCATGTGGTACTTCACCAGTATGCTCCTGGTGCTTAGCTATCCCTCCTGAATGTGGCAAACCAGAAAATAAAGGACGAGGAGTAAGGGATCAATGAGCAGGACAAACCCCACTCGCTCTAGGGAAGCAGTGCTTGCTTGTCCCCAAAACCATACCTTAGCCCCACAGTCTGCTCCCTTCTCCAAGCAGAACCCAATGAACCTGGGGTCAGCCACCTTCACCAGGATGTTATCCACACAGTACACGTGGACACTCTGCACACCCCTCCGCTCCATGTCATCCATGATCCCGTGTGCCCCCAGGGCCCGGTACAGACCCCCATTGCCATCTGCGGAGAGAACAAATCGTTGGGGCTGCAGCAACACCCAACAGTCCCATCACCCACCCACGCTCATCCTCCTTCCCCCCGGAGGTGGCGTGGAGGGTCATCAGCCCAGCCATACCCCACCCTGGTCCTCCCTGCCAAGACAGACACCTCCCAGCCTGCATCACCCGTGGGCCACGTCACACTGCAACACTCCAGCTCCAAAAGCTTGTCCTCAAGCACCACATCTCGCCTCTGTGCACCCCTCCCATCAGCTCCCACCACTAACCTGGTGCCATAGCAATCTTGCCCTTCTCCTCCAGCAGGATTTTCCCATCGAACCCCAGGGCGGGCAGCATGCCCTGCTGAAAGAAGATGACGTTTTCCTTCTTCAAGCCAAAATAACAATGCTTCTGGAAGAACTCCTTGGTGGACTCCATAGTGCGGCCACTTGTCATGATGTACCTGTCACAGAGCAGGAGACACCCAGTGAACAGGGAGGAGAGGCAGGGTCTCACCCCCCTCATCCCAAACGTAAGGAACAGCCAAGATAGGCTTTTTCCCTCTCCACATTTAGGAGGATCTGACCTGCTGTGGCCTCACCACTTTGGTAAGCCGGTGAAGAGCTTCTTCACACTTCCTTGCAACATATATCTCCAAAACCAAAAAACACCCTGCACAGTGCAGGGGACACCTGCAGCAGCTTCTTCCTTGACATCAACCTCCTGTTCACAGCCCCATAGCTGCCCCTTGCTGCCTAGACCCCTGCTTTGCGTGCTTGCTGTCCCACATGGGGACATGACAGACCTTCCCGAGGGCCACGGGGCTGAGTCTGACAACGTGGGACCTGCCAGTGCCACTCACCGACCCTTGTACCACTAACTCCAGCGGGATATGCCCATAGCAATAGCACTGCTGCCAAGAGGGGCTATGCCAACCCATTGCTCCTGGGCTGCCAAAGGGCTCTGCATCAGCGCAGGGGCTGGGAAGGGGAACTGCACCAATGCAGGGGATCTCGGGCTGCTGACACCCACAGGGCTACTCCAACCCACCGGGCCTTGGCCCATCGGCGCCAACGGGACCGAGCCGACACCTCCCTGTCCTCCCGAGGCCGGAGCTCACCAGGGGATGTGGCAGGGGGTGCCGTGCTGCTCCTCCGCCAGCTGCTGCAGCCGCCGCAGGCGCTGGGCCTGGAGGTGGAACAGGGTCTTGCGGGAGGGCAGCCCCACGTCGCACATGCCCTTGGGGTAGGGGACGCCGAGGCGGGTGCCCTGCCCGCCGGCCAGCAGCAGCACGGCCACGCGGCTGCCCGCGATCTCCGCCAGCCCTGCGGGAGCACACACGCGTGGGGCCGGCGGCTCCGGCACCTCGCCGGGCCGGGCCCCGCCGCCCCCGACACCTACCGCGGCTCTCCCAGCGCGGCACCAGCCCGCGGTCGCGGGTGGCGCTGCCCAGAACGTCCCGCGGCACCGGCTCCATCCGCGCGTCAAGCGCCGCCGCCGCCGCTTCGCCGCCACCGCCGCCGTCCCCGCGGGCGCGGCGGAAGAAGCGGTTGATCTCGGCCACGTCCATGCCGCTCAGCTCGGCCGCCAGCGCCCGGCGGGCCGCGTCGCCCAGCTCGGGCCAGAAGCGCAGCACGTGGCCCTGCCCGCCCGCCTCCAGCCGCTCCCGCAGCTCCGCCGTGTCCGCCGCCTCCATCGCGCCCGCCGCCTCCATCCCTCCCGCCGCCGCCGCGGGGCCGCCGCGCCCCCGCCGGCATTTTATAGCCCCACGCCGCCGCCGCGCCGCCAATGGCCGCGCCCCGCGCCACGTGGTGCCCGCCGCCAGCCCAATGGGCGCCGGGGCAGGGGGCGGGACGGCCCGACCCCCTCGCGGCGCCGCCGCCAATGGGAGCGGCCGCTGCGGGGGCGCGCGCCGGAGGCTGCCATGGCAACGAGCGCCACGTCAGCGCGCGGCCCCGGCCGGGCCGGAGGGGAGGGGCCCGTGAAGAAAAACCCCAAATCCATCCCAAAATCCGCAGGAGGGGTCTCTGCGGAGGAGGAGCCCCGCGGGGAACAGCCCCCCCCTCAGCCAGCTGGGCCCGGAAGCCTTGACGCTCCAGGACCGATGAGACACCGGCCCCTCCCGCGGCTGCGGGACCTTGTGCAACCCTGAGCATCCCCCGGGGAGGCTCCTGAGTCACGGGGTGGTGTCCCCCCCGCATGACATCCCTTCGGAAGGTCTTACGCCAGAGCGAGCGAGGAACACACCCGTGAGCGGTGGCCGTAGGCGGTGCTGCCGCAGGCAGCCGAGCCCCCAGGGACTGGGACGGGACACGGGGGGCTCCGGCCAGGCAGAGCTCACCCCGGCGCTCCCACCGGCGTTTGCAGCCCTGCTGGCGCACAGGGTGAGTAAGTTCCAACAGCCGAGCACAAATACCACCACCACCATGGCCAGGTCACAGCCCTGTCCCCCAGGACTGGCACAGGGTGACAGAGAACTGGCCCAGCTCTGTGTTTTTTCACCATCAGTGCCACAAGAACAGCACGCTGCACAACCACTTCCTACTGAAGCATCGTTTATTAATCACCTGTATCAAGCACACATCTGCTCAGCAAGGGTGCGTGACAGGATACAACAGTTGACATCTAACCCGAAGGGAGGCACATGGTTACAGGATCCGGCACAGCAGGAGGAAGCGTACTGAACCCTCTGGAAAGACAACCTGGGTGCAACACGGTGCCTAGGCTATGTTGTTAGGAGGCTGAAGACCAGTGAGAATAAAATTAGGACTACAGCTAAAATCAGAGCTGACTTGTGCTTTGGCCAGTGATTTGAACACCAGTTACCCTATGACTAAGGTGGAACTACGTAGGTCAGTGCTACACCAGGGGCTGTTGGGAAGGAGCAGCACAGACCAGGAAACCCAGCAAGCATCTGAGTGGAAAGCCTCAACACTTCTGCACCTCAGGCAGGCAGTAATCTGGAGATAAGGAAAGCCAGGCCCATCCAGGCACAACGCCACGACAGATACCTTGGACTGAATCACCACACACACTTCAGATACAATCTAGAGTTAAGAAACTCAGGGCTAAAACTTATGCCAAGCCACCACTAGGTTGCTGAGACACCAGAGTAAGCCTCATCTTGGGAGAAAAAGTCTTTGAAGACAGAGGGTGAGGAATAACAATAAAATGCTTCTAAATCTCCCTGCACCCCACAGCCTGCCGAGGGGTGGATCCAATGACAGGAAAGAGATCAGCATCCTCAGCTCTTGCCGTGAGGAAAATGAAAAGCAGCTCTGGGGTTTTTGCCCAGCTCAGTGCTCAAGCCTGGTCGATGTACATCAGGAGAAAAAGACCTGGTAGCAGAAGTTTGCATCTGGAGGATTCATTTAGCTTCATTAAAGCAGCTGAACAAACCTCCATCCAAACTCTGGTGGAGGAGCTTTACCATGCTGCAGGAACAGGCTGTAGCTCCTCTCTGAAGATTAATCCTGGCACAGCTCTATAGTTGAAAATCCCAAAGCATAATTCTGACTGAAAAAGAGATATGCTTGAAAGATGACAGAGCGGCTCACGGTCCTAGGGAAACGCACGTGAGAACTTAAAACACCTTCAAGTTCTGCACCTGCACCTCAATACCTCCCTGTCCCGGTACTGCTGTAGGTGACAGCACCCAGGGGAGCTCCCTGTGTCCCCACATGGGCAGCACTCAGCAGGGCAGGAACTCTTGGGACTGTTCCTGCCAGCTTAATGTTGCTGGCATGATGGCATTCAACATGTATAAGTCTGGGCCAAAGTGTTTTGACTCCTGGCTCAGCCTATCAGGGACAGCAACAACACAGAGCTGAGGAGGTCAGTCAGTGCCTACCAATACTTTAAACACTGCTCTTCACATAGGAAAAACCCTCACCCAGTTAATCATTCAGTTCCTCCCAGACACTAAAAGGTGCTTCACTGCAAGGACAGTTAAATTAAAAGCAATGAATCACACACACCCCAAAGCTGGTTAACAGCTATGTACACCAAAGTAGCATCATTCCCAGAAAAATGCGATCAGCAAATCACACCTTAAAACTCATTGCGGCATTTTTTTTTTCCCTGGCAAGCCCGCCATCTCAAAGGCAACAGAAGAATTCAGAGATTGGTCCTTTCTGGGGGAGTTTGGGAAGGGCCAAAGTAGACAGGACTATATACACCAGCACAGAGAGGAACTCAGACTCATGAAGTGCTACAGACATTGGATCTTCTGACACACCACACACAGAGTGAAAAATCAAGAGGAACTTTTAAGTGCAGGATTCCAGCAAGTCCAGCATCAGCAAGACACAAACAGTAAACTGCAAGGTAATTCAGGTATTATTCCAGGGAAGGTCAGGGATGGTTCAGGCAGCTGCCCGCAAGTATTTCAGCTGGAGAAAAGAATTCAGGGGGGCTCTCCTCCTCACTAAAACTGGCACCAGGGTCACAAGCCACCACCAGCCACAAGCTGATCACTCTCTAAGCAGGGCTGCTTCACCCTGTGCTCGTCAGGAGCAAAGCATCCACTCTGCAGGGAGAGCCTCTGCTGGGTTACGGGTTTGGACGACCCTGGGAAACAAGTCACTGCCAACCCCACACCAGCAGCTGTGCAGTGTCTGCCTGAGCACTGCAGCCACATGACCAGAGCGAGCTCTGGGGGGAGCAGCGATGTTGCTGGCCCAGTGCTTTTTCCCCAGAAGCACATGGCTGTCGTCCCAGACAGTGGGAAAGACCTTCTCCTGGCCAGTCAAGTCTGATGACTGATTAAGCCCTTTCTGTACAGGATCTCAGATTGCCTCAGGCCCTTTGTGTAACCTGTGAAGGACCAAAAGTGTCAGTGCTTCTAATCTACAAGTCTAATGGGTTAACGCGAAACCAAAACGCACACCACAGAAAAGCCAAGCGTGGGACCTACAACGGACAAATATTTGTTCTTATAAGACTCGCAGGGCAGGAGTCCTGCTGAGACACAAAGAATACTGCGTGCTGTAGCACTCCTTTCCAAAAACACCACCTTAAGACGCTTATGTATTACAGATGATTTGGCATCAGAGCTAGGGAGCATCAGTGCCAGCACACGGAATGTGCTAGAAAGATGACTCCACACAGCAGGGTTTTCACATCACCTCAGGCTACAAAGTGCTTACAGGTTGTGTGGGGACTGAGTCTGCCACTGCTCTGACCAGGTATCCACCACCAGTCCTGGCCCACCCCAGGCATACAAGCAAGCTCAGCTCCCCACAGGCAATATCATCCATGCCTCATTGCCCCAGCACAGCATGATGTCTGTGCCAGGTCAGTTGGATGGCTCTGCTTGGCTCACGGTGACAGGGCAACCCCACAGGCTCAGCAGATCCGATTTCACAGCCTCCCTCTGCTCTACGTGATGAGAAGACTCCAACCCTGGTCTGCTTTAGAGAGGATGGTGGTTTTGCTTCTTTATTAACGGTATCAACAAAAAGCAGGGAAGCCTTCCTCCTCTTCTTCCTCCCCACCACTAGAGTTATAGGAAAGCTTAACAGAGAAATCCTCTCCCTGGAGCCAAGTCCAGTGCTAAGGCCAAGACTTTGGCCTCGCTGCAAATGACTGAAAAGAGCCTGCCAAGGTCTGCCAGGCCTGCTGGGCCACCTCCCACCGTCACCGCTCCTGCCACGCGAGCGCCCACCAGGGCAGAGCCACGCGCCCCCCGCACACGAGCAAGCACAACACACACACAGGCACACGCTGAAAGCCACCCTGGCCTCCTCGGCACATCACAAAGCAGCAGTAAAGGTTTCAAAGCCCATTCAAGTCCTTTGCATCTCTCCTTCACAGATGACTCGAAAGCAGGGCTAGGAAGGTCTTTTGCACATTCAACTGTAAAACATGTGAGGAAGAGGAGCAAGACAACTCTTCTGATTGTTGCTACTGCCTACAGCAAGTTTTGGTACAGATATCCTCTCTTATAGGCACTCAGTGGGTAAAACGTAGCCACAACAAACTTGCCATCAAAAATCTTTCCAGTCAGCATTTTTTGGGCAGCTTTGGAATCACCAGCATTTGCATATTCAACAAAGACCTGAAAGAGAGAGAGGAGAAACAGGACTTCCAGTGCACCGCGCCACTCCCTCCCTCCCACCCTGCAGCTGGGAAAACCATTCCTGAACAAATTCTTTCCCTCCATCCTTGGCTGAGCACAGAGCATTGGAGCTAAAAAGGAAAGAGCTGCATCTCTGAACTGGGATTTCATCTCCTACTCCTCATTTGGTAAGGTGGGAGAAAGTATGATGATGCTCTATATCCTCAACATTTCCTTTCCCACCCATTAGCTTCTACGCTTCCATCCCATATCTCAACTCCCCTGCTAAAGCTGTTTGGGCAACCTTACATAACTAGGAAGGAACCTGTGCTGTCCTTCAAAATAGCCATCTATTTTTAGCACTGCCATTAGCCAAGAGATGTCCAGGCGTTGAGCAGCAGTTCTGCAGCACATGGAGTGTATGTGTAGGAATACATGGCCTCTTCCCTCCGTTCACTTACTTGGCCTTTACCAGGATTCTCCTTTGGAATAAGCAAGGAAACCACCGGTCCATATTTCTGACACTCCTCCCTTATGTCTTCCAGGATATCTGAGAAAGGAAAGAGTTGGTTGTCTTTCACTTTGCAAACTAGGACAAGCCAAGAAACAAATGAAGGCAAGATGAACACACCAAGAACGCTCAGTCAACACACAGCTTTTTCTTCCCAATTTAAAATAAACAAGCATGAAGTGCCACAGCAGAAGCTGATGCTGCTTCATGGCCACATAATGAGATGGAAATGTCTGAACTGAGGCTCAGGAACACAGACCTGCAGGCAGTGAACCTCCATGAGCAGGGTTTGGAGAACATGAACAGTGCTTTTCCTTGCACACAAAGGCTGGCCTTCCAGTAGCTAAAACATTTGGGATTTACGAGTGCCTGCTATGGCACTGGGAGGAGGGGAACTAAAGTAGCTGCCACAAGCGCTTCTTTGTGTGAGCAGAACCCAGCCTTCAAACTTGTATTCCCAGAGCTCTCTAGCTTTTGCCACTCACATGGATTTGACAGCAAGCAGAAATGCAAATTCCACCAACGTGCCTGGCCATCTACCACAGTTTAAGAACTCCAATGAGATATTTCAGTTCTCTGCTGAGATTTTGGATAAATCCATTAATAATCTTCTAAGGATGAGTGCTACTGAACTCCAGAGTCCTGTACATGTCCAATGGAAGCTCAGAGCCACAAACACAGAATGAAGTCTGCAGGCATTTACACAGAGAAGAAAACAAAAAAAATATGGGTTTTGGTTTTGTTTTTTTAAATTTGGGATCCTTCAAGAACTTCCTACAATCTCTGCTTTCTCTCTCAGTCTCTTAGTCTGTTCTCTGTTGGTGCAGTTGACCCACTTGGTACCAAATCTCAGCTGAGCAGCTCTTTGTTTACTGTTCTTGAGCCTATTAATTGCTCACCTGCTTGCTCTCACATCCCCAGAGGCAAACAAAACAGTCTGTAAGACAACATTGCTTGCACTAACCTTCATATTCCTCTTCACACTGCAGAGAAGCATCACTTAGAACATTTAGCAGCCTCAGCACAGGCGTGGGGAGCATCACCAAATCTTCGATATGGGGAGCTGTTTGGCATCCAAAGAATTAAAGAAATCAAAGGAGCAAGAAAACAGGAGGTTGACTCAAAGTGCACTATGATACAAAAGCACTTACTGCTCTTTGCAGTACAGTTTTGCTTCTCTGCTCCATTACCTGCATTTACGGTCTGTATTCT